CTAGGAACCTGATTATCAGTGGGTGACGAGGGGGACCAATCTGGGGCAACGTTCTTTGGGCAGTGCCCTTTGGGGAATGTCCTTCGGGGATGTTCATGCAGCCACATCCCCCCACCCCCTATCATGATCTGTGACACGGAAACAGTAAAAAGAGGTGGACAGGCCAGCTGGGATACTACCACCACTTTCACACTTGTTTTGATCCCTTCCAAAGCCTGACGAAGTGTGGAACAGTGCTGAATCAGGTGGGGATGGGTGAGGCAGCCTGGGTTTCTACACTCCTTCTGCCTCTCATTTGCTCTGTGATTTGGGGCAGTCTTTTAATCCTTCAAACCCGTTTCGTCACCTGCAATACAGGGACATCAGAAAAGCGGTGAGAGATGCAAGGGGGATGATGTTCAGGGTGGGCGTTGTGGCGTAGCAGGTGAAGGCATCGCTTTGGATGCTCACATCACATATCGGTGTGGGTTCAAGTCACGGCTACTGCCTTCTGACTCGGCTCCCTGCTAATATACCCTAGGAGGCAGCCTTAGCCCTCAACCACCCACATGGGAGACCACGCTCCTGTGTTCAGCCTGGCCTTTTCCTGCCTGTTGCAGGCATCCAGAGAGTGAGCAAATGGAAAATATCTGTCATTCTGCTTTTCTACATTTCCCCTAGCATTCATTTATTTTAATTGGAAAGGCAAATTGACAAGACAGAAGGAGAGACAGAGAAAGATCTTCCATTTGCGAGTTCACTCCCCAGATAGCTGCAATGGCTGGAGCTGAGCCAATCCAAACCCAGGCCCCACCCACTTTATTTTTAAAAAATTTTAAAAAAGAGAGAGAGAGAGAGAGAAATATCAACTTGTGGGCCCAGTCAGCGTGGCCTAGCAGCTAAAGTCCTCATCTTGAACGCGCCAGGATCCCATATAGGTGCCGATTCTAATCCTGGCAGCTCCACTTCCCATCCAGCTCCCTGCTTGTGGCCTGGGAAAGCAGTCGAGGACGGCCCAAAGCCTTGGGACCCTGCACCCGTGTGGGAGACCTGGAGGAAGTTTCTGGCTCCTGGCTTCGGATTGGCACAGCACTGGCCGTTGCAGTCACTTGGGGAGTGAACGATCAGATGGAAGATCTTTGTCTCTGTCTCTCCTCTTCTCTGTATATATGACTTTGCAATCAAAATAAAATAAATCTTAAAAAAATAAACCAGGTGATGTTCATGATTTCATTTTCCCTTTGCACGTCTTGTGCACCCACTGCAAGTGGGCCGAGGAGCAGCCTCTGTCTCCTGGGTGCTCCTAGAGACTGAACACTGAACACATGTGAAATATTCAGCACAGCTTGCTAAGCACACTTGAGTTTTAATATTTCCCTGAGCAGGCCCTCCTGGCCGGAAGCTGGTTTGACTTTAGCTTTTTGAAATCAGTATGGGTCAGAATCTAGGAGGGCTTCGTGGTAGAGGCAGCCATTGCAAACAACAGCAGCAAAGGACAGGCCACTTGCGGGGAGTGACCATGCTGGAGCGCGTATCTTCGGTGCGGTCGGATGTCCTGTGCCCAGCTTTCAGGAGGACTTGCATCTCTGGACCCCAGAGCTGAGTGTTCCTGTTTGATGGCTGCGGTGCCAGGCCCTGGAGGAGCCCCGGGAAAGCCAGGCTGGTGAGGCTCTTCATGAAGCTGTCTGGAGGTTTCCCAGCCCCACATCCTGCAGTGTGCCCCGGGCATGCCTCCCACTGGGGAAGCCCCAGGAGAGGGGTGCCCTGCCTGTTAGCGATAGAAGCAGGGCCTCCCCCTAGTTCGTTCAGGGTGTCTGCCTGGGGTCCTCCAGTGCCTCTTGTGGGCATAGGACTCTCATTGTTCCAGCCCCCCTCTCGCACCCCAGACTGGCCAAACCGGTTTTGGGGCAAGGGGGCGGGGTGGGGAGCAGGCACGTTGAGACAACCGTCTGCCTCTCGGAGAGGAGCCCTCCGCCTGCCTGCACCTTCCCACTCCTGCCCCACACAATACCCAGGAGCTGGCCTTACCGGGCTCGGGGGGCCATGCTGACATCGCCCCCTGAGGACTTGGCTGCGACCCCGGAGGCCCCCGGGCAGCCTGGAGCCCTGGACTGCACCGGCTGCTGGACGGAGCTCCCTGGCTGAGGTAGGGCTCACCTGCATGCCAGTAGCCCGTCCTCCGCCCACCAAGCTTTTCCCAGAGCCAATTCTTTGTGCTGCCTGGTCGATCTTGGCCTCCTTGGGCCCTGTTCCTCTCCTGCCCATGGCCTCCCACTTGGCTTTGTCTCTTCTGGGGTACAGGAGTTCTGCCTGGGTCCCTGCTCCTCAGGGCAGCTGGGTAAAGGGGCAGCAGGGAGGGGCAGGGCAAAATGGTGTGCAGGTGGCTGGAAGGACTTTGCCTGGACCTACGTGGGATTCAGGACTCTGTGCCGGCCTTGCCAAGTGGGTCCATGGTTCCCTGTGGTCAGCAGTGCCCATGGGTTGGCACCCTCCATGGCCCCTGCCCATCCTTGTTGGGCTTGCAGAGACATGCGTGATGATGGAGGTTTCTCAGAGGGACCGTTGAGACTCCTTTCCAAGTTGGGGTCCTGAATCCCAGCAAGGACTGGGTATTGCCTGCTGGCCCCTGCCCATAGCTGGCCTTGAACCCTGCAGGGAGTTTGCATTCTGCCACAACCCTTGCCCAGGGGACTCCCAAGTCCATGTCTTGGGTAGATAACATGCATGCTAGCTGGGTCCAGGTCTAACCTCAAAGCTTGGGCTTTGTTTAACTTGTTTCCAGCAGGAATGAGCTGTGTGGGACAGGAACACAGTTCACCCCCATCCCCTGCCATGTTATTCCCAACACCAGCCTCCTGGTTGAGTGGGCCATGACCCTGAAGGCCCTGGGGCTGGCACCTGAGCTGGATGGGACATTCCTGTGGCCCCTTGACCTGGTACGCACAGAGGTTGGCGGCTCCTGACTCCCCTGCTGGGGAACCTGCCTCTGGCCTTGTTTCCCCAGAAAGCCTGCCCCCACCCAGACTCTCCTGCAGGTGCTTTTGCCCCCAGGGTTTGAAGTTTTGCTTGCTGATCCAAGCACATGACCCAGAGGGGCAGTTCTTCTGAGGACTTTCAGAACCCAAGGTGGAGAGAACCTCCCAGAACACCAGGGGGAGGGGCCTGTGTGCACACACAGAGGTTTGCAACAGAGGCAAGTGGGGCCGTGTTGATTCCTGGAGGGACCCAGGACCTGGCTGGCAGGCAGCGGCCACCTGTGGCTCTTCTCAGGCACAGCTGGCCCGCAGCCTCTTTCCCCTACTGCCTGAGCGAGGGCCCAAGCCTTTCCCTGACTCCCACACAGACTGACCCCAGCGGAACCACAAAACGCTCACTGTGTGCTGGGTCCTCCCTGTGACCAGATGAAGCTGCTGCGACTGTTGTATTTGTCAGTCCAGGCAACTGAATGGAGCCTTGCTTAGATGGCACAGGTAGCCAGGACCTCCTCCAGGAAGCCTTCCTGGAATACCCAGGTCGGACTGAATCCCACACTCCATGCCGAGGCTTCCCCTGGTGCGGCTCTTGTCAATTGGCCTCATAACTACTTTTGTTTCCAGCTGCCAGACTGGCAGGGGGAACATGGTGTTTGTTCATCTGTCCCTGAGGTTTTCCGAGCATCTGGTCTGGCTGAAGGCTTTGCTCTCCATCTCTGCGGGTCCCTGAAGGGCTCAGTGCGTGTGGTTTTATGTTTTGGAGTGTTTCAGGGTGTTGGTTTCTGAGTCGATGTTCTTCAGTTCTCTCTCTCTGTCTCTCTCTCTCAGGGTCTCCTGGGCCTGCCAGGCTGGGCACTGCTCCTATGGCCCCAGGGGGCCTCCTGGAGACACTGGTGTGTGTGTGTGTGTGGGGGGGTCCAGGCTGCCCCGGCCTGCCCACTTCCAGGCTAGGCTCCGTTAGGCCCCCGCCCAGCCTGCTGCCTGCTCCCTCCCTCCCAGCCGCTTGCTTCACCGCAGGGTTTGATGAATCAAACTCTTTGTCTGGGTGGGATCTCCCCCAGCCAGCTGGGCAGGGAGAAGGCTGCCGGAGCCGCCGCCACCGGCAGCAGTGGCCTTGGCTGGTGAGAGGTGAGGGGCAGGAGGGTGGCCAGCCGAGGGGGCTCGGCAACCTGGGGTCTCAAGTCTGTCTTGGGGTGCTGGCAGGCTCCCCAGGGATGGTTTTCTGCCCAGAAAGAACACTTTCAACCTGACTGATCCACGGCTGGGAGCTGGGGTGGGGAGGACTCCCCTTCCTACCCCAAACCTGGGACAGGGGGCACTGGGCATCTCTCTTCCCCTTTCTCGGAGGGCCCCATCCGACATGGGCGGTGGCCCGGCCTGTCTGTGTGTGACCCTCCCAGCCAGCCTGGCATGGGTGTGGGCACCACTTGGCAAGAAGGCCAGGATTGTGGGGAGGGCCCAGGGGCCTGTGCCCTGGTGTGTGTGTGTCTGTGTGGGTTGCGCTTATGTGAATGGAACAGCAATGTGAGAGAGCTGAGGTACATGTCCACTTGTCTGATGGGTCAGTGAGTGTGTGTGTGTGTAGTTGCATGTCATGAATTCAAACTGTCTGTGTGTGTCTATGAAGGGGGATCCACATGTGTGTATATTGTGTCTGGGAGGAAATGTGTGTGGATGTGCGCATGGTCTGACGACATATGGACGGGTGTGTTGGAGGACGGCAAGGCCATGAACAGTACCAACTTGGCCTTGAGAATGCGCGGGGCTGTGAGGAGAAGCATGGCTTTTGGGGCCTCCCCTCTCTCTCTCCTTTGACAAAACAGGGCTAAACATACCTTCAGCCGGGACCGCTGTGAGAGTGAAGTGACATAATACGTGGGCAGCACTTGCCTGTCATCCAGTTGAGGGTTACTTATCACTGCCTGATGGGGCGTGAGGCTGTGCGTGCACAGGTGCGGGTCCACATTTGTCCTTGGGCATCTTGCACGCAGGCAGGGGTCTCACACCTTCTTCCCCGCAGGTACAGGTGGGTGGCAGAGCAAAGGAGGCATGGACTGTGGGCCACCAGCTTCCCTCCAGTCCCACCTGGTCGGACCGTCTGGCCCTGTCCGCCGCGCGGTGGCCGTGTGCCAGCAGGAGAGCCTGTCGTTTGCCGAGCTGCCCTCTCTGCAGCCCCCCAGCCCTGTGTGTCTGGAGCTCTTCCCTGTCGCCCCTGAGGAGCCACAGGCTCCTGATAGCTGCTGGTCCCTGGGGACCCCTGCCCCCCTCCCGGGACTTGGATGGCCACCAGTGTCCCCAAGAAGCCCAGAAGCTGAGCTCTCCTCCGGCAGGGGGATTCGGCCCAGCAGGGCTGGCAGCTGGCCACACTGGCCCAGTGCCCAGCCGTCAACTCTGGAGGGACCCTGGCGTCCCCAACACGCACAGCCACAGCGTAGAGCCAGCCATGGCTCAGAGAAGAAGTCGGCCTGTGAGTCACGAAAGGCTGGGCGTGCAGGGAGGGGGGGTCTGGGCACATCTTTCCGAATCCATGAAACCCCAGAATCCCGCCCTCCCCTCAAATCTGGGCAAGTGGTAGCATTCAGAGAAGCTTAAGAGTCGACCCACAGTGTCACAGCCACAGCATGGCTGTCCTGGGTACCCTGGCCCTTCACCCACTGCAGCTAGGCCCAGAGCAGTCTCTGCCCCTAGCATGGACTCATTGCCCTGGGGAGCCACCCACCTCTCCCTCAGGCCTGTGCCCCAAGGGACACTGAGACCACTGCCTCTCCTGGCTGCAGGGCGCAAGATGCGAGTATACCAGCGAGAAGAGGTCCCTGGCAGCCCCGAGGCACATGCTGTCTTCCTGGAGGCCGGCCAGCCACTGCAGGAGCAAGCCCTGGCCCGGAGCCCGCAAGAATCCAGGCCGCTGGAGCTGGCCGGGGCAGCACGTGCGGGGCTTGAGGGTCCCGAACAGCGGCGGCGCTTCTCCGCTTCAGAGCTCGTGACGCGGCTACATTCCTCTCTGCGCCTGGGCCGAAACTTGGCCGGTCGGGCACAGCTGGGCCTAGTTGCCGGCACTGGGGCAGCCCGGGAAGGTAGTACCCCAGAACTGGACCACCCTGCGGGGGTTGGAGGGGGACCCCCGAGGCTGGCCGCTGGTCAGCTGGGGTGTGGTGCCCCTCCCAGCGCCCAGGGCCACTCTCAAGCTTTGTCTTCTCTAGGAAAAATGCCAGGAAGGGAGTCTCACGGTATAGACCCCAAGGCAGATCCCAGTGAGAACCCTGGCGGCTGGAGCGAGCCCAGGTAGCACCTGCCAGCGGCGGGGGCGGGCCCGAGGCGAGGGCGTACGGGTCAAGGATCCTGACACTCTCCTTTCTAGGCTGGCCGCGCAGGAAGATGTGCATCCGGGGTGCGGCAGTGCCCACGAGCGGCGCCAGTCCCGTTTCCTCCTGAACTGTACGTGGGAAGGGTCCCTAACAGAGGGGCTGGCGGCTGGGGCTAGGGCTGGGGGGAGCTTGCGGGAAGGGCGGGAGTGGGCCAGGACGCAGCTGGTGTTCTATTCAGCTTTACGGAATGAATGAGTGAATGAATGAATGCATGTCGAAATGCGACCTGGTGCTGAGGCCAGGGTGCCGGGCTCCTGGGGTATCGGGGAGCAGCCGGGGGCGCCCTTCGGCCCGCCCCCCACGCTGCTTCCCGCCCCCCTGTCCGCCCAGCCGTCCTCTACCAGGAGTACAGCGACGTGGCCAGCGCGCGCGAGCTGCGGCGGCAGCAGCGCGAGGAGGAGGGCCCGGGGGACGAGGCCGAGGGCGCGGAGGAGGGGCCCGGGCCGCCGCGGGCCAACCTCTCCCCGAGCAGCTCGTTCCGGGCGCAGCGCTCGACGCGCGGCTCCACCTTCTCGCTGTGGCAGGACATCCCCGACGTGCGCGGCAGCGGCGTCCTCGCCACGCTGAGCCTGCGCGCCTGCAAACTGCAGGAGGTGAGCCGGGGGGCGGGGCTCCGCGGGGGCGGGGCTCCGCGGGGGCCGGGCGCAGAGGGGGCGTGGCCGGGCGCAGAGGGGCGGGGCCAGGAAGGGGCAGTTCAGGGGTCTCGAGGGGACAGAGCTTCAGAAGGGGCAGGCCCGGGGCCCAGAGTGGGTGGAGCCTCAGAAAATATGGGGGTCCATAAGGGGCGGTCCTGAGCCCAGAGGGGGCGGGGCGCCACAAAGGGCGGGCCCGGAACCCAGAGGAGTGGAGCCTAATAAGGGGCGGTCCCCGTGCCGAGTGGGGGCGGGGCACCAGAAGGGGCGGTACCAGTGTCTAGAAGGGGCGGAGCCTCAGAAGGGGCGGTTTAGGAGCCAAGAGGGGTGGAGTCTAATAAGGGGCGGTCCCCGTGCCCAGAGGAGGCGGTGCCAGTGTCTAGAAGGGGCGGAGCCTCAGAAGGAGCCAAGAGGGGGTGGAGCCTAAGGGGCGGAGCTCAGGAGAGAGGCCCTGGGACCCAGAGAGGGCGGGGCCCCAGGAGGAGCGGTCCTGGACTTGGCCGGGGACAGGGCCCACCAGACTCAATGCTAGGCCCTCCCTGACAAGGAGGCGCTTCAGGAGCCCGAGACAAGAACGGAGGAGGGGCTAGAAGACAGGGCGGAGCTTTCGGGAGCGTATCCGCGTGGTGGGAACGGAGCTAGTGACCAGAACACCGCGGTGGGCAGGTCCTCAGTGGGCGTGGCTGGGGCAGAGTCACGGACCCCAGTTGTGTTTGCGCCTTAACCCAAGCCTTAGGGGTAGGCTGTGTCCAAGGAAATGGTGCTCCGGGGATCCTGAGTGGGCTGCCCCAGTTGACTCAACCCCGCATCCGCCCTTCTTCAGGCCAAGTTCGAGCTCATTACGTCCGAGGCCTCGTACATCCATAGCCTGTCAGTGGCCGTGGACCACTTCCTAGGCTCGGCTGAGCTGAATGAGTGTCTGGCCGCACAGGACAAGCAGTGGCTATTTTCCAAACTGCCCGAGGTCAAGTGCACCAGTGAGAGGTGAGGGAGTGAGGTGCGGGTTGGGGTGGGGAATGGTGGGGGATAGGGATCAGGCCCGTGTGTGGCAGGGCTCCCAGGTCTGGGGTTTCCAGCCCTCACTCTTTCCCGTTGCCTCAGGTTCCTGCAGGACCTGGAGCAGCGGCTGGAGGCCGATGTTGTGCGCTTCAGTGTGTGCGACGTCGTGTTGCAGCACAGCTCCGCCTTCCGGCGCGTCTACCTGCCCTACGTCACCAATCAGGCCTACCAGGAGCGCACCTACCAGCGCCTGCTGTAGGATGCGGAGCTCTGACGGGGTGGGGTGGGGAGGAGGAAGGAGGAAGCCTGGGGCAGGTATAGATGCAGAGGAGTACGTGGGGAAAGGTAACTGGGAGGGAGGTATCCCTAGAAGGGGCTCTGGGATCAGGAGGTGATGAGATCCATTGCCCGGGACAAGGAGGCTGTGCCCACAAGACACCTCAAGACCCAAAGGGGTGGAGCTCAGCCCCTGCCCCCCGTGACTCCAGATGCTTCCTCATGCTCCAGCCTGGAGAACCCCAAGTTCCCCGGCATCCTGGCTCGCCTGGAAGAGTCCCCTGTGTGCCAGCGGCTGCCCCTCACCTCCTTCCTCATCCTGCCCTTTCAGAGAATTACCCGCCTCAAGATGCTGGTGGAGGTACCCAATGGGCACGGAGCAGGGGTGGGTGGTGGGGAATGCTGCAGTGCCAGCCCACTGCCCGGGCAAGGGCTCTGCCTGCCTCACTGGCCGGACCTCCCCCACCAGAACATCCTGAAGCGGACAGCACAAGGCTCGGAAGAGGAGGATATGGCCACCAAGGCCTTCAATGCACTCAAGGAGGTGAGCCAGCAGAGCCCAACAGGAGCCTGCAGCTGTCTAAACTTCACTCCTGGGCAGGGCAGGGCACTGGGAGTGGGGTTGGGGGATGGATGGGGGGGATGGGAGAGGGGCAATGGCAGGTGACTTCCCCTGTCCCTGGTCTCCATCCACAGCTGGTACAGGAGTGCAACGCGAGTGTGCAGTCCATGAAGAGGACCGAGGAGCTCATCCACCTGAGCAAGAAGATCCACTTTGAGGGCAAGGTGCGGCCCACAGGGGTGGGACCGGGTCCAAGGGGTGGTCCCACGGCAGGTCCCCTGCCTCCACCTACCCGTGGGGGTTCCAGGCCAGTCTTCCACTGCCCACCCTATGCCCTCTGCCTGGTGCCCTGGGTCTGAGTATCCTCCTCTCCCCTTGCCTTCTCTGTCCACCCAGATCTTCCCGCTGATCTCTCAGGCTCGCTGGCTGGTCCGGCATGGAGAGCTGGTGGAACTGGCACCGCTGCCCGCAGCGCCCCCTGCCAAGCTGAAGCTATCCAGCAAGGCCGTCTACCTGCACCTCTTCAACGACTGTCTGCTGCTGTCCCGGCGGAAGGAGTGAGTTGGGCCAGCATGGGGTGGCAGGCCACTTAGAGCTGGACTCATAGGTCATTCTGCTACTGGGCCTGGCAGTCCCAGCTTGTGCCAGGCTGAGCTCCTAAAATCAAAGCAAAGGTACAAGGCAGGCCTATCCTGCAGACATGAGGATCAGAGGCTGGACTGCACACAGATAGCTTGAAGCAGAGTTTCAATCCAGAGCCCGTAGTTCCAGCTCCGCCCGGAGTAAGGAGGAAGAGAGTCAGCGTCTGCCCTGTGCCAGGCTTGCCATGGGGGTTAGGCCCCTTAATCTTCCCCATACCTCCCTGAGAAGTAGGTGCTCCTGGTGTTCTCAAGCTCTCACAGTGAGAGAGTGGAGACAGCAGGAGGCCCAGGCGTTTAGCCACCATCCTGCCCTGTCGCTCTGGGTGAAACGTCACAGGCTGGCTGGGAGAAGGCTTCTGGCTGTCCTTTTGGAGAACTCACTGCACCTCTAGTCCAGAATGCCTGCTGGCTGTATGATGGCTGTCTGCTTACAGGAGCTCTCAGAACAGTGAGAATGCATCAGACGATCCTGATCATATTGTCAAGTTTGCCTGGGGGGTATGTGTCATGGTGCAGCAGGTTAACCTGCCACCACTGATGTGCCATCTCAGAGGGTCAGTTTGAGTCCTGGCTGCTCCACTTCCAATCTAGCTCCCTGCTAATGCACCTGGGAAAAAACAGCAGATGGTGGCCAGAGTGTTTGAATTCCTAACCCCCACGTGGGAGAGTCAGATAAAGTTCCAGGCTTAGGTCTTCAACCTGGCCCAACCCTGGCTATTGTAAGCTATCTGGGGAACAAACCAGCAGATGGAGATCTCTTCTCTCTCTTTTCTTGCTGTCACTTTGCCTTTAAAATCAATCAATTAATTTTTTTAAAAAACGAGAAGAAAGAGATATCTTCCATCCACTGGATCACTCCCCAAATGGCCTCAATAGCTGGAGCTGGGCTAGTCGAAGCCAAGAGCCTGAAGCTTCTTCCCCATGTGGGTGTGGGATTCCAAGGACTTGAGCCTTTCCACACTGCTTTTCCAGATTGGATTGGAAGTCAAGTAGCCAGGACTTGAACCAGCACCTAAATGGAATAATGATGTTGCAGACAAAGGTTTAAGCTACCTACACCACAGCACTGGCTTGTATTTATTTATTTATTGAGATTTGTTTACTGGGGCCAACATTGTGGTGCAGTAGGCTAGGTTGCTACCTGTCATGCCTGTATCCCATCCCCAGTTTGAGTCCTGGCTGCTTCACTTTTTATTCAGCTCTCTAGGAAGGCTGTAGAGGATGCCCTAAGTACTTGAAAGGCAGAGAGAATGAGGAACAGAGAGAGAGAGATATCTTTCATCTCCTGGTTCACTCCCTCAAATGCCCTCAACAATCAGGAATGGTCCACATCAAAATCGGGAGACAGGAACTCCATCCGACTCTCCCCTGTGGATGACAGGAATCCAAATAGTTGAGCCATCCGTCACCTGCTGCCTTCTCAGGATCACCAGCAGGAAGCTGGACCAGAAGCAGAGGAACAGGGACTGGAACAGGCACTCCGACAGGAGAGGCTCCTGCTGCAGTGCTACCCGCATCCTCCAGGATTAGGGGACCAGTGCTGTAATGTAGCTACCACCTGTGACTGGCATTTCATAAGGGCACTGGCTGCTCCACTTGGGATCTAGTTCCCTGCTAATGTGCCTGGGAAAGCAGCAGAGGATGGCCCAAGGATCCTGGAAGAAGCTTCTGGTTTCTAGTTTCAGATCGACTCAGCTTCAGCCATTGTGGCCATCTGGGGAGTGAACCAGTAGATAGAAGATTTTTTTCCCTCTCTCCCTGTAACTGCATCTCAAATAATACATAAATCTTAAAATTAAAAAAAGGCAAACAGGAGCTTGGGTGGGCACCTGGGTGACGGGGATTGGGTTCCATCCCTCCCTGTCCCCTCGGCAGGTGCACCTCCCAGTTCTTGCAAGGACCTGGCTGGCTTCCCAGGAGGCTGTACTGTGCTTGGTTACATTTCCTCAAGGAGGCTGCTGGAGGGGTCAATAGCAGAATTAACCTTCTCCCAAGGGTGGGCACTGGGAGGCGAGGCCCAGGCTAAACTGATGCCCCTTACCCTGGTTCTCTAGGCTGGGCAAGTTTGCCGTGTTCGTCCACGCCAGGATGGCTGAGCTGCAGGTGAGGGACCTGAGCCTGAAGTTGCAGGGCATCCCAGGCCACGTGTTCCTCCTCCAGCTCCTGCATGGGCAGCATGCCAAGCACCAGTTCCTGCTGAGGGCCCGGACAGAGTGAGTGGGCTCAGGCCCGGGGATGGAGGATGCTGCCAGACAGGCACCAGGTCCAGGGGCACCATCTTTGACCTTGTTCCTCAGTGTGTAAATTCCTCTCAACATGGACAGTCCACAGGGCTGAGTAGAGGGCAGTGCCTGCAGGTGGCAGGACATCCCCTCTCTAACTTCTTAAAGAGCACTTCCCTGCTCCTTCTGTGACTTTAGGATGTGGCAGAGGTGGGAGTTTGGGAGAACTGACACCCAGGGACTTTTGCGCCCTTCCTAATGCTTAGATTAAGAAGAATGTGGGTTTGGATGGGCACCAGCTGGGGCAGGCACAACTGGGTCCTGGGTTGGACCATGACTGGGTCCTGGATCTGGGCTTCACACCCAGTTTGCTCAGTCCTAGCTGTGGCACCCTGCTCTAGGTGCCTGCACTTTGCACTGTATGACAACCTGGCCTGACCTCTCTAGGAGCGAGAAGCAGCGGTGGATCTCAGCCCTGTGTCCCTCGAGCCCCCAGGAGGACCAGGAGGTCGTCAGTGAGGGACAAGGTAACAGCACCCAACTCCTGCCCCCCATCCACCCCAAACCACACTGCTCTGCCTTCTTCCAGTCTTAAGTCACTGGCTGGGGAGGAGGGAAGGAGGGGTAAGGTCACCTGGCCTGGCCAGTTAGTGGTTCTGAAGATCATGGAAGCTGGGCAGCCACAGGCTGGAGAGTCCAAAGCTATTTAGAAAACTGGTTCTGAGAGGTGCGTGAGTGGCCCAGGTTCATCCTGCAAGGGGAGTGGCATAAGTGGGGGTGGAGGTAAGCTCCAGTCTCAGCCTCCCTGATGGAGCAGAGACTTGGAGGAGCCAGAGTGTAAGCCGGGGCTGGGGATGGGAGTGGGAGGAGGGATCTGCTCAGCTGGATGGAGTCTTCTCCTGGCATACCCGCAGGTGAGCCAGGGGACCTTGGGACCAGTGGGCAGTAAGGGGGCTCCCACAGTGCCTGGCAGGCGAATTGGGGCTGAGCATTGGGCTGTGAATGGGAAGAAAGGGACCTCATTCCACAAGGCCTGCAGGTTCTGGATCCTGGAGCTGGTGACTGAATTTGCACCGATTTTTTTTTTTCACTCTCTGGACAACCCTATTAAGTAGTTTCCTTTAGTTTTCATGTCTGAGAGCACTGAGGCTTAGCGAGGTTAAGTCCCCAAGATTGTGGTCAGCAGACAGCAGATCTGGGAGGCAAGCCCCATCTCGCCTTCCACAGTGATGCTACCAGCACAAAGGGCACAGGGTGGAGCTGAGAGCCTGGAATGGGGTAGAATCTCTGGGTTGGGTGGATCTTCTGTCCACTGGCTCACTCCCCAAATCCCTGCATCAGCTGGGGTTGGGCTGGGCCAAAGCCAAGAGCCCACAACTCAGTCCAGGTCTTGTATTGAGTGGCAAGGACTCAGGTATTTCAGCTGCCGCTGCTGCCTTTCAAGGTGTGTATTAACCAGAAGCTGGAGTTGGAAGTAAAGCTGGGATGTAAGCCTAGCCACTCTGACAGTGGATATGGGCATCCCACGTGGGGTCTTGGGGTGCGTGTGTGTGTGCGTGTTTTAAGATTTACTTATTTATTTTATTGAAAAGACAGGGTTACATAGAGAGACAGAAAGTTTTCATCCACTGGTTTACTCCCAAAATGGCCACAATAGTCAGAGGTGGGCCCATCCAAAGCCAGGAGCCAGGAGTTTTTTCTAGATCTCCCACATGGGTACAGGGGCCCAAGGACTTGGGCTATCCTTGGCTGGTTTCTCAGGTTATTAGCAGGGAACAGGACTGGAAGTAGAGTGGTTGGGACTAGAACCAGTGCCCATATGGGATGCCAGCACCACAGGCGAAGGCTCAACCTACTGTGCCATGGCACCAACTCCTAGTGATGTCTTTTAGTATATGTGTCACTGAAACCAGTACAGAGGGTTGGGTTTTTTTTAACTGCTGTGCCAAATGCCTGCCGCTCTTGGGGTTTTATTTTATTTTATGTTTTGGATTTTTTTGTTTGTTTACTTGTTTATTTGAAAGGCAGAGTTACAGAGAGAGAGAGAAAAATCTTCCAACCTCTGGCTCACTCCCCTGTGGGATGGTTGAGATATGTGATGGTTGGAGCTGGGCCAGACAGGAGCTGCTGCCAGGTTTCCCATGAGGTGTAGGGGCCCAAGCATTTGGGCCATCCTTCCCGGGAGCATTAGCAGGGAGCTGGGTGGGAACGGGATCAGCTGGGATTCAAAGTAGCATTCATATGGGATGGCAGCTTTACCCCACTCTGCCACAATACCACTCCCCTGGAGGGTTTTAATGGGGAACGGTGTGGTTTGAATCCCAGTTAGGAAGGAGGAGTGGAGATACAGTGCCAGTGGGTGGTGGTGGGCGATTTATGAAGAAGGGCTCGTTGCAGTTTGGTGTAAAGGTGTTGGGGGGAGTTCCAGGTAAGATCTGGAAGTCAAATCTAGTGTCTGAGCTGGGGAGGGGAGATTGGCACTGAAGCCCATGGTGGGGCGAAGAGGAGAGGAGAGGGGCCAGGCTAGGCACTGGTGCCAACACCTTGCCCGGTATGAGGGCAGGGAGGCACTGCAGTGAGGGTAAGACAGAGGAAAACAGTGGCAGCCACCCTCCCCACTTCCTCATCCTGTCCCGCTCTGTCCCAAACCCCGCCTGGGATGACCCTGACCTTCCCCTGGGCTGTCAGACAGCCCCCAGGTTCAGTGCGTCAGGACGTACAAGGCGTTGCAGCCGGACGAGCTGACCTTGGAGAAGACAGACATCCTAGCAGTGAAGACTCGGACCAGTGATGGTGAGAGGGAGTTTTTGGGAGGGCCTCTCTGGGGGCACGGGTGGGGAGGAGACAGCTAGACGGCTGAAACATTATGGGGAAGGCCAAACACAACAGGCAGGCTATAAGTTAGACCAAAGGAGGGACTTCCCTGCTTGCCAAGGTGTAGGATTGAGATGTCGGGACACATGGATCAGAGAGTCCTTCCTGGAACTGGAAGACACCAGGATGGTGAACTTGGGCCCCACTGCAGGCTGGCCCCAGGGCTGAGATGATGCCACACAGGTCTGGAAGCCACTGACACTGCCCTGGGCCTGTGTGTCTCCAGGCTGGCTACAGGGGATCCGCTTGGCAGATGGCGAGAAGGGGTGGGTGCCCCAGGCCTACGTGGAAGAGATCAGCAGCCTCAACGCTCGCCTGCGAAACCTCCGGGAGCATAAGCGTCTCACGAGCACCACCAGCAAGCAAGGGGAGCACCCCGTGTGACAGGCGGCAGGTGGGGTCGCAAGGGGCCTGCTGTGTCTCTGCCCCAGGCTGCTGCTGCCTCTGGCCTTCTGTGCTATATCCCCAGCGCAGGCTGGACACAGGAGCTGGGAACCTTCCTGTGGTCAGGAACCACACGGTCCTCACCGCAAGGCCAAGGGCAGTTCCTTCCCCTGGCTTGAGGGCCACAGCAGGTGGTTGCAGCTGTGTGGCAAGCCCAGGGAGAGGGGTGCTCTCACAGCGGTCTGGCTCAGAGGACACTGCAGGTGCGGTGGCCGCTGTGTTCATCCGGCTCTTTTTTCCTGCGACCCCATCCAAACCTGGTGAGGAGCAGGTGCTGTGATATAAACTAATGCCCCTAATGCCTTTGCTCAGTCTGTGAACCCGAAGCTGCCCTGACTCTGATCCTGACCCTGACTCCTAACGGAAGACCAGGAGGATCTTGTCTCCTGGAGGGCTTTCTGGTCCCCATAATTCACCTGCTAACATGGGAGAGTAGCAGGAGACCCGAGGGGGCTGCACTCTGTGCCCTGGCTCTCACTGCAAGCTACCAGTGTCAGATTTAATGACTCATCTATTAAAGAAGTTATTGGCTCCTGTGTCTCACCTGACTTCTGCAACCGTGACCACAGGCTGGGTCACCTTAGCACCAGAAATCTGGGGGAGGGCATTTGGCACAGGAGTTAAGTTGCCCCAAGCACCAGTGTGAGTCCCCGCCGTTCCATTTAAGATCTAGCTCCCGGCTTACACAGCTGGGAAGACAGCGGTTGATGGCTCAAGTGCCTGGGTCAGTATTACCTGTGTAAGAGTCCCAGATGGAGATCCTGCCTTTGACTTGACCCCTTACAGGTATTTGGGGGAGTGAACCAGTGGAAGTAGAAAAAATGACAACTTTGAAACAGACAAAAGCAGAAACGCATCCTGTCTCACTCTGGAGACAAGGAGGCTGAGGCCCCGGGACTTGGAAACCCGGCGGGCTGCACTGTGTCCCGAGCTTTCAGCCCTTTGGCTTCCCTGCCCTGCAGCTGCGTCATTCCGATCACACTGGTGTCTCTGTCTCAAATCTCCTCCTGCTTCCCTCTTCCAAACACAAGATGCATTTGGCACACCCAGTCTTCCCCTCTCCTAATCCTCTGTTTAAACCACAGACACCCTTGCTTTGGCCCTTAAAGGAACACAGTTTCCAGGATGTGGTACATGGTTATCTTTTGGAGGCAGGGGGACATTTTTCAGCTTTTCATGGTTGTCGTAAATAAAATGTATCATGGTGAGGTGGCTTTCAGGCAAGGCTTGATCCAGTGCCCAAGGGTGGCATGAGGACTTGGCTCTCCCCACACCTGGACTCTGTGGTTCAGCTTCAGGAGGATGGCAGGGAGCAGGGGAGTTGTCACATTTCATTGGGCCCAAATCCTGGTACTGCCTCTGATTGGACCAGCTTGGTCACATGGGTACCTCTAAGCTGATGTCAATGACCAGGGAACCCTGTATGCTGACAGGCCTAGCCTGAAGCAGGTTCCCTACCACTGGAGACAGCCTGGCGAGTCATCTTCCAGGACATTCCATGGATCCCCAAGTGCAGCTCGGTGGCCCCTGCCAAGGAGGTATAGCTGCCAGAAGGCCAAAGGCCATGAGAACCCAAGCAATGAAAGGACCTGGGACTGGTGACCTTGGAAACCGAGCGCTTGAGCAAGGAAGCACCCCTCAGCCCCCAAAAGGGGGCAAAGACAACAGAAGAATCTGGGTGCTCCCCAAGTGGGGGCAGGGGTGCCACAGGCAGGGGTGGGGGGTCACTTAGAGTTCTGGCCCCCACCTGTCCAAGTGATTCATCAAGAGTGCTGTTGGGCTGGAAGGTGGCTGAAGCAAAGCCCCCACCTTCTGTGTCCAGCCCGGCCTCCAGGCCCCGCTCCCCCTCCTCTGCAACCTCGCCCCCCTTCCACCCCAGGCTGCCGACCCCTCCCCCCACCCACCTGCCGCCGTCAGCATCCCCACGTGAGTCAGCGTTCAGCAGCCTTGTTCTGTCCCCAGGGCCTGCGGTGTCTTCTCCCGCTGTCTTACTGACCTGGGTTTTCATGACAGGCAGTGTGGGGGAGCTCTGGCCTGCATACTGCAGGCTGGCCCTCCGTCTGGGGACACAGCTGGCTCTTCTTGTGATGAGCCGAACCGAAGTCACAGCTTAGGGAAAGAACAGCACGGGAGAACGCAGGGCCCTTCCACTCTGGGACCGCAGACACGTGAGGCCCACGGGACCTGTCACCAGAGGGTTATTGTGCTTTTTTGTTTTTCAAAGATTTATTTATTCATTTGAAAGGCAGAGTTGCAGAGAGATCTTCCAGGTTCTGACTCACATCCCAGTTGGCTGCAATGGACAGAGTTGAGCCAGGCCAAAGCCAGGAGCCAAGAACTTCTTCCAGGTCTCCCACGTGGGAGCAGGGACGCAAGCACTGGGGCATTAGCAGGAGCCGGATGGGAAGCAGAGCAGCCAGGGCTGGAACTGGTGCTCAGCATGCTGGCCCCCGGCCACTGGGTTACCCAGGGTGGGAAGGGCTGCTTCTCCCTTCACCACAATGTTCTTGGGGAGTAGCAGCTCTGACGAGGGGCGGGGCCTGCTCTGCCTCTTCTCTGACTTGGTCATTTTTTTTTTTCTTTAAAGATTTATTTATTTTTGTTGCAAAGTCAGATATACAGAGAGGAGGAGAGACAGAGAGAAATATCTTCCATCTGATGATTCACTCCCCAAGTGACCGCAACGTTTGGTGCTGCGCCAATCCAAATCCAGGAGCCATCAACCTCCTCCGGGTCTCCCACACGGGTGCACAGTCCCAAGGCTTTGGGCTGTCCTTGACTGCTTTCTCAGGCCACAAGCAGGAAGCTGGATGGGAAGGGGGGCTGCCGGGACTAGAACCAGTGCCCATATGGGATCGTGCGCATTCAAGTAGCTGCTACGCCACGCCGCCGGGCCCTGACTTGGTCATTTGTGTCTCATAGGTGCCTGGTTCATATCTGCTTTATATGCGCTGGGGGTTCTGTGTCTTGTGTTCTGGTTGTTCTGATAGTTCCAGCTCTTGTCACCGGGAACTCTACATCGCCTGCTGCCTCTTGGCCTGCCCCTCCATGTCCCTTGATCTTGCAGCATTTCCTTGCTTCCAGGCACCACGAGACACGGCTCAGTTGTGCTGAATCTTTGCAACCACGGTGCTAGAATCAGTCAAGATCAGGGTGCTGGTGTTCATCATCCTGTGATGTCACTGTTCCTAGGCCCGCGCGGTCACCAGAGGCAGGAAGCCGATGCACCACGGCAGCTTGGACAAGATTCCAGGCCTCAGTCACCCTACCTGCAAAATGGGCATGACAATAACAGCACCGACTTCTGGGAGCCCCTGGGAGAAAAGCTTTGCATGTGGGTGGCACAGTGCAGAGTGCCTATGAAGTCACTAGGAGGGGTGGCTGTTCTTATGCCAAAGCCATACAGCCCAAGCTTGGGGCCTGGGTGAGGACTCAGCTAAGACCAGGCTCTGTGTGCCTCGTCTGGTGCCTGCATAGGGAGGACAGGCAGCCAGCTCGCCCGCATTCAACCTGCCTTGGCTCATCTGGGTCCTGGGTGACAGCTGGCTCTGAGACACCTGCTGGACCCTCGGGGGCTGGACAGGACACCAGGGCTGCCCAAGGGCTCCTGGGTCCATTCCCCTCCTGGCACCTGCTCTGGGGGAGACTCCAGGCAGGCCTCGTGGAGGGAGTTTCTCACTCAGTGATGCCTGCCTCTGCTCAGCAGGCCGTGCCCTGGTATCTGGCCTTGGCCAAAGCCCCAGGGTCCTGCCCCTGCTTGCTGGGCAGGAGGAGGCAGAAGGGGGGGTCGGTATTGGGCAGGACCTGAAGTGGGGGCGGGATGTCTGGGATAGGGGTTTTGGCCCCTGGGGCTGTCTGCCCGGCCAGACTCCAAGCCACCGCCTTCGCCTTCTCCAGAACCCCTCCCCTCACTCTTCCTGGTCTCCAGACTCCTGTTACGGAGGAGATTCTGTTAAGAAAAAAGCTTCTTCAATTGTTCCTTCTCATTCAGTTCTCCCTGCCTCCCTGTCTTCTGTCTTTTTCTGACTGTCTTCCCATATTTCTGACCCCTCTGCCTTTTCCTCCTTTTCTCTCTTCTTGGAGAGGGAGTGACCCCAGCCCCTGCAGAGGTGGCACATTAGCCCGTGAAGTGCAGGGGATGCCGCAGTCCCTGGAGCTGGCGGCACACGGAGCGCGGGCGTGAGTGGGCGCCACTTCTTGGAAAAACAGGTGAACTGCACCTGCTGAGCCAAATGCCCTGCTGTGCCCCAGCAGTGCCAGCCCCACAGAAATGGACACGTGTTTTCACATGCCCCTAAATACAGGAGCCAGCGTGCTCTGAGCAGTACCATCCCCAGACAGCTAAAGTGCCAGGCTCCCTGCTACACGTCCGTAGCATGGCATGGGAACTGTGGTGTCTTCATGCAGCGTACCATCAGCACGTAATGAGGGCCCCCTCGGGCAGGTGTACTCACAGCGAGACAGGAGCCAAGCACACGAGAGGGCTTCTTTTTTTTTTTTTAATTTTAATAATCTTAGTTTATTAGGGTACAAAGGGTCACGGGCTACAGGGTGAAAGTGGGTAATATCATTGTTTCCACACTAATATAATCATTTTGCCCTGTATCTGGGGTTAGGGGAGTAACAAAGGGAAAAGCCCCACCCTACCTCCCACCCATGCCCGATCCCCAACATGAGGCGCGCTCCAAGGGTCCTGCTCAGTTTTGATAGTTCATCAGTTCCGGATTGCTGCCAATCTCACCGTCCCAACCGCAATGAAACCTATTCAGAGTCCACTGGCTGACAGTCTCTTGATGGTTGGGGCTCCAAGATCAGCAGTTCAGTTGGAGAGATATCCAAAGAAACTTCATCTGAGTTGATCCCAGATCTGATTCTTGAGTGAGTTTGCTAGTACAGACTCCAACACCGTTCGTCACACCAATCAGCTTATGCACATGCTG